ATGCGTTGTTTGCCTGGACTGCTCAACACCTGAATGACTGTGTAGGAGGAACTCTTTGAGTTGGCTTCTTAAATACCTTCATGCTGTTTCACATCTGATACTCCTTGATGAAACATAGGAGCCTTGTCCTAGAACAGGCTTATTCAGAGTGATACAAGCTGCAAAAGTGAGAACTTGGAAGAGTGTTGCTGTTTTCATAATGTAATAAAAATACTGTAATTATAAATAATAATTAATAATAAATAGTGTGTAATAAGCATGTAATAAAAACTACTTTTATATTTCCCAGATCACTACTTTTATATTTCATACTCAGGTAAAGGAGAAAATCCCTGGAAACATTCATTTTTAGGAGGGGGTTTGCGAGACTTGACATTTTAGTGAAAGGGGTTCACAGATTGTTAAAGTTTGGGAACCACTGGTCTAGGGCCTGCTCGTCAGGCCATTGTTCCGGGCCACCTTCCAGCTGTTAGAGTTCATTATCATATCAGGGTGAGGTTACATCAGCATTTCCACTAGGCCCAGTTTCACCATTTGGGGAATTGAAAAGTCTCTGTTCCCCATACGACTACTGGCGTGAATTCACATTCTCCTTCTGTATCCTGTATGGATATTGGCCCCAATAGAGAAAAATTGTATTTTCCTCAGTATAAATCTCTTACCCTTTTCCCCTTACTATGAAATACAAGTTATTGAGAGACCCCAAAGCCTATGTCAGAAATACTTTTGTATTTAAAGAACAGGGCTTAGAGTTAAGAGATGCTAGCTCTGCCACAGGCTTTACTGTGTAACCTTGGGCAAGTCATTTAACCTCTCCGTAGAATGGGGATAACAACTACTGTACTAAATTGGAACTGGACCCAAAAAAATATTAGTCAGAAATTGCATTTATAAAGGGCCAAATTCTACTCTCTCACACACAAACCCCCACTGGAATCAACCACAATTCATGTATGTAACTGGGGCCTAACTTGGCCTCCTCTCTCTTACCCTTTTGAGTGGAATACACGACATAGTAATCACTAGCTGTTGGCAGCCTCCTGATAGCTATCAAGTTATAAGTACAATTAGCTTCCTTGGATTCATGCTCTTCAACTCCATGGTCTTCTTTTCCTGTTTTTATGACAAGGAAATATGTTTAAACACACTGTAAAATGACTGCCTGTTGCCATACATGCGCTGTTTATACACTGGTTTCTCTTGTACAAAAGCTACAAGGTATCCGAATATTTTCCCATCCTGGCACTCCCACCTATAGCTACTGAAGGAATGCAGGGACTGAGATATGGTGGTAATGGGGTTAGCTAGCTAGCTGGATTATTAGATAGCAGAGTTGAGGAAACTTTTTGAGTAAAATACATTTTGTTTAAATATATTATTTTTATCAAAATCAGAAATTCTTCCTTTTTTTTAAACTCAAAATTAGAAAATGAATAACAGGATTTTTCTTCCTTTTTTTTTTTTAAATTCAATTTTCTGGTTTGTCATTCTTCCTTTTTTTTCCCTTCTTTTTTTCCATTGCCCCTCCCTCTATCCACTGCAAATTGGAAAAAATTGGAAAAGAAGAAGAAAAGGGGGTAAAAGAGAAAAAACAAAAAAATCAAAAATCAAAAATATTGAAAAACATTTTGAAACCAAAAACTGATGAAAATTTCACTAAAATTTTGAAAACAAAAATCATGTATCTCAGTAACCTGAAGAACTAAAACAACACTTTAATTTCAAATATTGTAATGATAAAGAAAATAATTTTATCAACCAACTCTACTAGACGGTCTCAATGTCTGGGAGGAAGGTGCGGCCTGGCTGTGGGGGGAAGTGGCTTATGGGGGACAATAATGTCTAAAGTTGTGCAAATAGCAACAGCTCAAGTCTGCAAAGAACCATTGATCTCGGTTGATGTTTGACTTGCGTTAAAACCGAAAGTCTGCTCTGAACCGGGGTGGATTCAGGTTTTGGTTACATCTTTCCCAGAGCCCCACAAAATATCATGAAAGAGACTGTTCTTGGGAGCTTTCTATATCCATTTTGGAGATCTATGAGGTTCAGATGATTAGAATAAGATTCTTTTAGGTGCCTCTCTGAATCTATTAGGACCCCATGAGCCTGTCTGCCTGTTGGAAACCTGATTCCTCTTTGGCTCCCAGCCCTTTCTTTTAATAATTAGGAAACACAATCTCCTGGTAAAAAATGGCAGTGTATTATTTCTGACTCTGTGTATCAATTTTAATAAAACTTGTGAAATATTGCATCTTATATATAGCAAATCCCCACAAGCATTTCATCAGTGAAATCAGTCTTATGGGACTATTAAATGGACTGAAAAAAGTCTGTTGCTTGGCAAAGCTGGCCTTTCTAAGAAGATACTGTGGGGGCAAACTGTTAAGCCAGGAGGTTGCCCAATAAGAGCAGGCACTAATTGAAGTCAGGCCTTATGTACCTTTTCTTGTGAGGAAGGGGTTTGTCTTCAGTTTCCCATCAGAGCCCTGAGGACTATCCCATTTTCCATTACATAAGTTTTGCTAACTTTGAGGCCCTTGTCACCTCCACCATTCTGCTGGGTTAGGAGGAAAGGTTAGATTCATTTTGGCATTTTGTAATGGGGTGTTCTTTGCAGGCCAGGGTGTCACTGTGCAGTAACACAAGGCATTGCCGCCCTCTCTGGGTGGAACACGTGTTCTCTGTGTTATTTTCAATGCTGGCTGCTTCGAGATTGAGAGACCAGAACTGGGCCTGAATCCAGCTGTCCAACACCAGAGTACAGAGAACTGCTGAGGTCACTGGGCTAGATTTAATAATACATACTGTAAGCCCTTTATAGAGACCTGAAATGAAACCTTCATAAAAAGAGTCTGAAATTCAATACTACTCCTGCAAACACTACTTAATGTCCTGCTCACCTCCTCTGCATGCCTGAATGATAAAGATTTTAGGTTTTTCTTGGAGCTTTGGGCATTGTATATTGTTGAATAACGCAAATATATCATCAAGGTCAACTGTGTCACCATCTTTCCCCTGAATGAGGCCGTGACTCCTCCCATGACTCATAAGAGTAATGAGGCAGCAGCTAATTTCATCCTCAGATTGATTGATTTGATCCCGGAACTCTTCCAGTGCTGGCAATATTTCCTGTCACAAACAGCTGTGTTAGATACGCTGATCAAAACAATTAATTCTCAAAAGAGATTATTTATTAACAAATGAAATAATAAGGCGAAAAGATCAATTTAATTAGCCATAAAAAGTTTTAAAGCCATACTACACCTTGCAGTATCATTAACTGTATATAGTGGGTCCATGACTTGGGCTCCTAGATGCTACTATAATACAAATAAATAATAATAGCTAACAAAAAGCTGTATTATGTGATTTAGATTTCTTCCCTTCTTGATCTAGAGCCCAAACCAGCAAGGTACTTAAGCATATGCCTAAAATTAGGCATGTGAAAAAGTCTTATTGAAATCAATGGTACTAATCACATGCATAAAGTCTATCACTTTCTTCTTAAACATAAAAAGAAGAACAGGAGGACTTGTGGCACCTTAGAGACTAACAAATTTATTAGAGCATAAGCTTTCGTGGACTATAGCCCACTTCTTCGGAAGCTTATGCTCTAATAAATTTGTTAGTCTCTAAGGTGCCACAAGTCCTCCTGTTCTTCTTTTTGCGGATACAGACTAACACGGCTGCTACTCTGAAACCTTTCTTAAACATAGTAACAGTTATTGTATTGGTGGGTGAGTGGGTGTTTCTGAGCACACCAACAGATCGCTCCTAAGTGAGTGGTTCCTCCCAGCAGGGAAAGGCCCCTGACGCAGAAAGTAACTCTGAGAGGTAGTTCAGGGGCGAATGTGCTTCCTGCTGTAGGGAGAAAACAAAACTGTGTTTGGTCAGCAGCACTAATGGTAGGAGGGGAGCTGCCTCTGTGCCCTCATCCACTAATAAAGAGATGTTCTGTGTGCCTCTATCATTACTCCAGGGACTCTGCCTGCCTGTGCTAACCAACCAATAAGTAGACAGTGAGGTCCCAGGTAGTATCTTGCTGAATTGGGGCCTTAGAGACTGCTTCAGATACTACTCACATAATTGTAAAGGTCATTAGAGTTATATTAATATAAAGCTACTATATGTTGTAAGAAGCCAGAGGTATCAAACATGCCCTGAAAAACATTGTTAACAGCTACAATTCTCACTCTGCCCTTCTGTCTGCAGCAACTAAGGCTATGTCTACACTACACTTTTGTCGGTAAAACTTTTGTCGGTCAGGGGTGTGAAAAAAACCACACCCTTGCCCAACAAAAATTTACCGACAAAATGCGCTGGACAGCACTTTGTTGGCGGGAGACATTCTCCCATCAACAAAGCTACCGCCCCTCGTTGGGGGTGGTTTTATTTTGTCGGCAGGAGAGCTCTCTCCTGCCGACAAAGAGTGGCTACACTGCGTACCTTACGGCAGCACTGCTGTAGCGGCACGGCTCTGCCACTGTAAGCTGCGCAGTGTAGACATAGCCTAAGACTGACACCAATTGCCCTTATGCATATTCCAAACCTTTAGCTTCCTCTTGGAGCTAAAGATAATGAGAATCAATATATGCCCATCATCAGAGGCTGCACTAGCTACAGGGAAACTAGGCAGCTGACTAGGATGGCAGATTTCTGGGCAGCAGCGTGGCATGGCAGATTTGGTCTGGCCACCCTTCCATCATGACAGACAGGGGACTGGCCAAATTTGAATGGTGGTGTGACCCTGTGCACCAGGTCAAAACGCTACTCACTCAAATTTTGTCCGGCCACCCCTCTGTCATGAAACCGGTGGCTCTGCCAAACCTGAGTAGTGCTGTGACCCCATGCTGCAGGGCAAACAGGTTAGTCTGTAGAGAATTGAAGTAAAAATCCTTGAAATCAATCCAACATAAAAAGCTTCCAATAAGAAAAGGATTGAAGAAATTTGTTATATGCTTATGCCATCTACTGGATACCAATGGAAACAAAAGAGAAATAGCTGAAATCTGAGCCCTCAGTTGGACAACATCAGATAGAAAATCAGAGGATTGCCCTTCTCCAACAGACCCTGAAACAGGATACATAAACTGGGTCACCTTATGGGACCACAGAGTTTTGCTTATCCCCTTCAAACAGCCTCTCCCTTCATCCAGGGTTACAGGAAGAAGAGGTTACTGATTAGCTGCAGAACCCAGATGTGCTATTGGACACTGAGCAGCATGGTGAACAGCTCTCACTTCCTCTTGGGTTACAGGATAAAGAAATGGTGAGATTTCACCTCAGCTTGTATGTCTCTTTCTGATCTTGAATATAAATAACTGAAAGTTATCTTGAGCCTACACTCTTTAGTGAGACCTCAAGTTTTGCATAATGTTGCATATTAACTAACTATTGCTATAAGCATGCTCGTCTTTGTAAGCCCATGCAAACTGGCCTAAGAGATTTAAAACTATAATTTATATAATTGTTCTTAAAATTTAAATTTGTCCCCTCCATGTCACCCCATTCAAACAACAGGGATTCTTAAAAGTATCTTTAAGACAAGTGCATCCTTACTACTTGGAGAAATATGGGAAGAGCGGTAAATGTGTTGGAGGTACTGAAGAATTGATGACAGATGATCATAAGTAAGTGTAATTAGGAATGTTGATGATTTGTACTGGTATATGAGATAAGTGCAGAATCTCAACCTTCGTCTATGACAGTTGCTTGCAAGACTTTATTTTTGTGTTCAGTACATGCCTAGAACATTGGCTAGGTCTACACTTGATTGATGAACTGTTGATTGTACACATATGTGGTTCTAGGTGAATTATCAAAATCTTGATTGGTTAAGAGCATCACGTGTCTTGATTTGAGAAATACTGTCCGAAATAAAAGCTGGCGTGAATAGAACCTTGCATTAAAATTAGTAAGTTACGCTCCCTGGACTCAATAAAAAGGAGTTATCCTAACTAGATTCCATTCCTATATTAGCTATAAAACTTGTCAAATTGACAAATTTAGTTTGTTAGATTTCATCTTTAAAATCTAATTGGCACCTCAGCAAATTCATAAAAATTGATCCTCATTTATGCTTGCAAAGTGAGATCATAATCAGACCTGTAAGGATTTGTGATTTAAACTGCTGTAGTTGAGCAATACACTTGATATTATTCATCTAAAATTGTAGCACGGCGGTCACCCCACTCCGGTTAAGAAGGGGTTAAAAGCAGCCAAGGGAGGCTGGTTGGGTAAACAGCCACAGGTGTACCACACCCAATTAGGGGCCAGCTGACCCTGATAAAAGGGCAGGCTGAGGGAATGAGAGAAAACTCATGCTTCAGCTGAGGATCAGAGAGGACTAGGCTGCCAGGAACAGCAAGCTGGGTACCTGAGACAGAGCAGGGCGGGGGAAAGGCAGGCAGAGCTGAGGAGCTCTGGCTTGGTGAGTCCCCAGGCTGAGGCCTTGCTAAACGCCAGGGGAGGTACTAGGGTTGCAGGGAGGCAGCTGGGGCTTGAAAGGCAACAGGTCCAAACCCCCTGGCTGATGATGAGTCACCACTTCAGACTGCAGTTTGCTCCTGAGGAAAGGGACTAGATGAGGACTAGCAGAGGGTTACTGAGGTGAGGTGGACTTAGGGGATTGGGGTTCCCCAAGAAGGGAAGACCCAGAGTATGGGGGCACTGCTGTGCGGCAGCACCCAAAGGTAAGGGACACTGGGGTCTAAGAGGGATGCGGCACCTGAAGTGCTATAAGTGGTGGAGATCAGGAGGAAGCAGGCACTGGTAGGAAGACACCAGCCAGCAGGAGGTGCTCTGAGGCTGGAACTGAGCTAATTCCTGGATGACCAGCAGGAGGTGTCACGGCGGTGAGTGCCCGCTGTGCTACAAAAATATATCAAGGAATTACAGGTTTTGATACAAGGCAAAGATGTGGGCATGTGTATTTTTTTTTCCTGGTAAATATTCTCAAGTTCCAGTTAATTTATCTCAACTGAAGAAATGATGGGAGCAATGGCAAAGGAAGAGTTTTGAAGGGTAATTGATTCCTCAAAACATGTATTTTGTTTAATTTAAAAATGCTCCAGAATGAGGATGTGGTGATGGAAAGTCTAACTTTACTCAACTCCTTAAAAGAAGAGTTATGAGAGTATTTAGAAGTCAGTTCTGCAGCTGTGCCCCCAGAATTCCCACTGAAATCCCTAAGGTCTTATCCTATTCCCTCTGAAATCAATTGCAAAATTCAGATTGACTTGAAGGGGACCAAGATTGGGTGGGTTCATTTGTAAATAGGGGTTACAGATTAGCTTTTTCAGCCTTGCATTTTAATACCAGGAATGAGCCTGAATTCTAAAATGCAAGCATTTCCTTTTGCAGATACAGATTTTGTGGTGCTGTACCACTGGATCTGAGCACAAAGGAAACCGACCTGAGAAATGATAACTTTAGCATGTAAATGCAAATATGAAAACTGTCAAGCACTTTACTTCATATACTGTACTACGTTTTGGGTGTTCAATGCAGTCTATACTGGCACCTTTAAAATTCAAATACATTCATGTTTTCTTAAATTCATAGATTTTTTTCAACATGATATGGTACAAAAACTTTGCAGGAAGTTGGTGCAACAGTATTTTAGAAATTATTCACATTACCTCAGGCACACAGAAATAACATTGTTGGGCCAAATTCTGCACTCCGTTACACAGATACAACTGCCATTAAAATCAATAGTGTTGCACAAGTGTAAGCAAAGGTAGAATCCGACCCAAATATTGTACTTGATTTTTATAATTCTTAGGAAACACACAAAGGAATTATGGAAGAAAAAGGGCCAGTTTCAGCAATGCTGTAATGACAGCATTATCAAGATCTCCTTGACTGACAGCTCACTGGACTCCATCCCTTGCCTGACTCTGACTCTTCCTTACTGATCTTCACTCTGGCAATTACTCCGATCCCTGCTCACTGATTACCACCTCTTGGTCATCCTTGCCTGATGGATACCAGCCTAGCTGTGACTGCTAGGCCACACTGCCTATGCCTCGGTCCCTTACAAAGATCATGAGGCCTAAAGACTAGCCCTTCCACAAAAGGGCAATCAAAGGTAGGGAAAAAGCCCCATAGCCTAATAATGTACAGCAGATTGGCAATTAAGAGGTAAAAGGGGAAGGAAGAAAAAAACCTTCTAAATAATTAACTACTATTTTTTTTGGCTCAGTTAGTCTCAAGTCAAGCCTGGAATCGATCATTCAGAGAGGTTACTTGAGCCAGCCTATAGCCACACAGCTGCAGATAAGGCAACTGAGTGTCCCAAGCATTTGGATTTGTGGGGTATTGGAGAAGGGGAGCTCATTTGCAGAAGTTCTATTGCCACCCAGGGAGCTAAAGTTTTAAACACTTTCTGCATTAGGCTGTCCCTTTCCCTGGGAAGATCAGCTATCAAGGGATCCACATCCATAGCTTCAGGTACTTCAATTAACCCAAGCCCTGTCTATAAAAGATAATCAATACCTCTGGGCTCTGGTGGGGAAATATTTTCTAAACATTTTACAGTACTGATTTCTGCTTCAGTACAACTTCAAATAGCACCAAGTGAGCCCTTACTAGGGGTGTGGAAGGCATTCCATTTGAAGCTATCTGCCTGGTATGGTATAATTTTTAAGACTTACCTGCCCATTAGGATCTATGCACTGTCCAGAAGGCGTTTTAAACTGGTACTTGTCAAACCACTTATTCATTACTTCAATATCCTTTTCTGCACCGTGCCTGCCTGTTGTCACACACATCATAAAAGCCACACGGGTTTTGCTCATGTCATACGTATCCTGTTAATTCAAAATGTTTGTTTGATGAATGATCTGTAGCTTAACTGAACAACAGCATTCTAACACAGTATGGTTTTTCTACACGTAACATACGATTGAGGGCCCAATCCTGCAACTACTCTACTAAGAGAAATCCCACTGACTGGGGGAGCCTCTGTAGGATTGGGCTTCTATAGCCTTGTCTATAACATCAAACTGATGTGTTGCAAATAGGGCTGTCAAGCGATTAAAAAAAATTAGTTGCAATTAATCGCACTGTTAAACAGTAATAGAGTTCCATTTTTTTAAAATATTTTTGGATGTTTTCTACATTTTCAAATATACTGATTTCAATTACAACACAGAATTCAAAGTGTACAGTGCTCACTTAATATTTATTTTTGATTGCAAGTATTTGCATTGTAAAAAAACAGAAGAAATACTATTTCAATTCACCTAATACAAGTACTGTAGTGCAATCTCTTTATCATGAAAGTTGAACTTACAAATGTAGAATTATGTACAAAAAACGTTGTTGTTTTTTTTTATTCAAAACTAAAATTTTAGAGACTGCAAGTCCACTCAGTTCTACTTCTTGTTCAGCCAATCATTCAGACAAACAAGTTTGTTTTCATTTGCAGGAGATAATGCTGCCCCCTCTTGTTTACAATGTCACCTGAAAGTGAGAACAGGTGTTCTCATGGCACTGTTGTAGCCGGTGTCACAAGATATTTACATGCCAGATGCACTAAAGATTCACATGTCCCTTCATGCTTCAACCACCATTCCAGGGGACATACATCCATGCTGATGATGGGTTCTGCTCAATAACAATCCAAAGCAGTGTGAACCGATGCATGTTCATTTTCGTTATCTGACTCCGACACCAACAGCAGAAGGTTGACTTTCTTTTTTGGTGGTTTGGGTTCTGTAGTTTCCACATCGGAGTGTTGCTCTTTTAAGACTTCTGAAAGCAAGCTCCACACCTTGTGTCCCTCAGATTTTGGAAGGCACTTTAGATTCTTAAACCTTGGGTGGAGTGCTGTAGCTATCTTTAGAAATCTCACATTGGTACCTTCTTTGCGTTTTGTGAAATCTGCAGTGAAAGTGTTCTTAAAATGAACAACACGTGCTGGGCCAACATCCAAGACTGCTATAACAGGAAATATATGGCAGAATGAGGGTAAAACCGAGCAGGGGACATACAATTCTCCCCCAAGGTGTTCAGTCAAAAATTAATTAATGCCTTTTTTTTTTTTTTTTATTTTTTAATTAAATAAGCATCATCAGC